GCGCGCGTGCGAGGCGGCCGGCGGGAGGCGAGGCTCTCCGCGCCTTCCTCGCCAACCGGTAGACCGAGCCCTGCAGGGAAGTTGCCGCCGCCGCCGGGGCCATCGGCCCTGCTGTCCCCTGGACAGGTCAGTGAGCCCCGGACCCGCCCAAGTGACACGTCGGTGGCTTCTGAGTACCTGGGTCGGGTGGGGAGCGGGAGGGCAAGCGAGGGCGCTCGAGGTCCCCGGTGCCGCGTCCCCGGGGGCGAGACCGGCCGGGACGTCCCGGCGGCGCAGAGCTCCGGCGCGGCTGGCTCCTCGCGGGTGACTGTGAGTCTCTATGCAGCTGCCGAGCTGCTGAGCACGTAACCAGGCGTGCAAGCCCAGGGAGGACCTGGCTTGGCGTTGATGGCTTTGAAATCCAAGGGCTCCTTCAGCTCGTGCGGGACTAATTTGTTGCGAATAATTTAAACTTTATTCTCGTTTTTTTCTCTTTGCCGTCCTTTGGCCTCTGATGTTTAAGAGCAGTGGCACCAAGGACTTGTTGCTGCCTCAAAGTCTGGCGCTTGAGGTTGTCGCTCTTTGCTGCTGCTTTTTCTTTTTGGTGAAATCTATGGCTTTCTTCGTGAATGTGGATTTCCATTGCGTGCTCACTTGTGGAAGTTTCAATATGAATGGCTTGTTTCCCACCGCAATAGACACATTGGTAGACGTGCATGTTCAAAACGTAACTAATTATTAAAGCAAAATCCTCTATTTTTCTGGCTCTAACAGTCTTTTTTTCACGCATCTGCATAGCCATCGTTTGCTCAGCCGATCTAACCGTGAAGTCAGAGCCTAGGATTCAAAGTTTGCAGTTCTGGTTAAAGGGAGACTCTGCCCTTGGAAAACGGCTAACTTCTAAGAAATTACGCTCTTGTCAGATAAGATGAACACCGAGGAAAAAGCGTATGTGTTAGATTTGTAGTTGTGCGCGCCAAACTAAAACCGTATTCGAACACACACACACGCACATACACACACATATACACACACACATACACACACATACACACACGTATGTCCCCTACTTGTTTCTGCCCTTGAGTTTTCAAACGCAACGTTGTGAATAAGGATTTTTTTTCTTGATTCCATGTACTTTGAGGCTAAGTAGAGACCGGTAGTGTGACATCCCGGAGCTAGGCTGGCGGAGTGCGCTGTCAGGAACCGGGCCCCGCTTGCGCACGGCGTCCCCTAGCGGCGCAACCTTAACCCTTCGGGTCAGTTGCTGGTCGCGGTGTCCTCATCTGGAAAATGGAGAGGCTTGATGATTTTTGCTGTTCCTTCTTTCCAGTTCCTCAATTACTAGAAGCTGGTGGGTTGTTGTGCTGTGATAGAACAATAGAAAGGAAGAAAGAGGAGTAGGAAAGGATTAGTGGGAGAGAGAAATAGGAGGACAACAGAGCCAAAAAAAGACGGAAAAATTCCAACAGTACAGGATGTCTGGACGAGAAAGAACAAGCCAGGAGGGAGTTGACTTCTTTCTTTTTTTTTCTTTTCTTTTCTTTTCTTTTCTTTTCTTTTCTTTTCTTTTCTTTTCTTTTCTTTTCTTTTTTACCTTTCCTTCAGCACAAAGGAATCAGTAATACTTTCCCCTCCTCCGATTAATCTCCTGTTACCCTCATTAAAAAGTGCGCCTGTTTAGCCTTAAAATTGAGGTGAGGTAGAGATGATCCATGTAGTCTGACCTCTGCTAGGTATCCCGGACCAAGTTGAGATTTACCTCTTCTCCAGGGAGCAGCTGCTGCCCTGAGATGTGAGCGTCCTGTGTACCAGTATCCTTTTGAGAAATGAGGAAAAGAGAAAACTACAGAAGTGGGCATGTAAGTGGCAGCCCTTTTGAAACTTGTTTCCATTCAAAGCTAATATTTTCCAAAATGGAAACTGATTTTCCTGCAAATTATACCATTGACTTTTAAAACTTTTATCAAATCTGTTCTACCCCACCTCTTAGAACATTTGAAAGTAATCTCCGTTGCTGAGTCTTTTTGATAATGCAGTGACATTCTGTTTGAAGTTAGTGATTTGGGGAGGACAAGATCATTTAAAATGCGTAGTAAAGAGAGTTGCAATCTGGGCAGAATACATCGTATCATTTTCTCTGGGAAGCTCTGAGTATTCAACAAATCACAGCACTTTTGAAATTTAATTTGAGTTTGTTTTTAATGTGTATGCTTGATGTGTCATCCATTCCTCCATCCATCCCTCCATCCATCCCTCTATCCATCCATCCATCCATCCTTCTTTCTTCTTGGTATCAATATGCCCTCACACTTGAGGAACATGGTTTATTTTAGAAATGGAGTGTGATGTAATAACAGCGCAAGCATAAACTCTTGGTTTAAAGTCCCAAAGTCTGCTCTGGCCTTGTTAAGTCAGCATTTTACTACTCTTCGGTTTCTTATTTTTTTACATATCATGTTACCCCCAGAGTCCCTATTGTGTTGTTATTTAAATATCTCATGGAGAACTATTAAAAATATCTTAGAAAGTTGGGAGAAGAGGAAATTTTAATTTGATAAGTAAGCACTGAGTTCTATCTATTGTAACAGATACAAGGATGATTGGAAAGGGCTGCAGTACAGGGGGAAAGGTGTAGCTAAGTGCCGTATGCAAGGGATGATTGAAATATATAGTCACTATTTACATTTATAGAATTTATTACTGTAAAGACGTTGCATTACCCTTCCTCCCCAATTCCTCCTATTGCGTCATACATATTAGCCCTTCATTTTTGCCACTTTCTGAAGCAGTTCTGAAAGTCATCTTTTGTGTCTTCAGGAGATGTGACAAAAAATGTGAATGCTGCTGCTGATTGCCATACAGTGGAAAGGCCGGCTTCTAAAAACATTGCGATGTGTCCTCACCCACCTTATTCATTGTCTCTGGCCCCATGAGACTTCAGTATTTTCCTTAAGGTCAAAATAACCATGAAAGGTAAACGTTTTTAATTGATTCAGGACATCTAGGTACCCATGACAGTACAACTGAAGACATTCCCAAAAGAGGACTTCTAGTACTGTTTTCAAAAGTGCAAGAATAAAGGAAACAGTGTCTTGGAATTGAGAGGAAGTGTTTTCAGGGAGATTAATGGCAGTATGTCTTACCGTAATAAATTTAAAAAGCAATTCAAGTGCTCATTTTATGTTTCACTCATACCTTGTATCCGGAATAAGCATATATATGTGTCATGTATCATAATGGTGTGGCAGTGTGAGGTGCCAGAACCCTGGCGTGCCAAGGAATGGAAAATCAATTTCTGACTTTGGCAAAGACTTCGCAAACAGCTTGAAGGATGGTGCATCTTTTAAGAGAGGAACGGTGGGAGAGTGGAGACCTGTTCTCCGGAGATGGAGGTAGTCAGAAGCCCCAGTGATGAACGTTGAAAGTTGTAAAGCAGTCACTTATCGGGACAGCTGGATGCTCTTTCAAGGAGGTGTGCTACATGGGGATGGGGAAGCATTATCTGACCCCAAGATACAAGAGAAAACTGGGTAACACATTTTGGGTCAGGTGAGGGGAAAAATGATTGAGAGATGAATGGACTTTTGGACTTGGTTGCCTATTTGTTCAGTTTTATTATATAAAGATTTTAGAATGAACTAGTATATGATTTTTTCCCCCTCTTACTCCCTCCAAATTGGTTGTTCTCCTTGAACTTTCAAGAAATTTAATTTAGTGGAACAATTGTTGATGCTACTGTGTCATAGCTGGGCTTTCTGGGGCCTTTTGAGCACGTGTGTTGAACTCATTCTGCGGCCACGGGGCTGACCATGCAAAATTTTTTTCTTTCTTTTTTTTGTTTTTGTTTAGGGAAGAGCTTATCGGTTAATGCTAATTTAAACATGATTCTTCTGGCAACTGGCAATCTTGACCTTGTTTATGTTATACACAGTATTTAACCACAGTGGTTGAATATTTGCAGCAGTGAACAGAGAAAGAATTATAGTACTATTAACTTGAAAATAAGGTTAATGCCCTTCTAAAGGATGAGGCAGGCAGAATCCTGAGAATCTTGTATGAGGTTTAGCCTCCAATAAAAGTAGCTTACTTAATCCTGTCGAATAATAGTTTTGCAAGAGTTTCTCCCTTCTTTTT